CAATTGGGGGAAGGAGATAAGTCTCTCAGGCCATGGAGGTGCACACATCTCCCCACAAAAGGGACCCAAGGAAGACAACTCCAAGACATATAATAATTAAAATGGCAAAGATCAAGGATAAGAAGACCCAAATAGCCAAAGCAATCCTGAGAAGGAAGAATAAAGCAGGCGGAATTATGCTCCCTGACTTCAAGCTCTACTACAGAGCCACAGTAATCAAGACAATTTGGTACTGGCACAAGAACAGACACATAGACCAGTGGGACAGACTAGAGAGTCCAGGTATAAACCCAAGCATATATGGTCAATTAATATAGGATAAAGGAGCCATGGATATACAATGGGGAAATGACAGCCTCTTCAACAGCTGGTGTTAGCAAAACTGGAAAGCTGCTGTAAGAGAATGAAACTGGATTATTGTCTAAGCCCATACACAAAACTAAACTCAAAATGGATCAAAGACCTGAACATAAGTCATGAAACCATAAAACTCTTAGAAAAAAATATAGGCAAAAATCTCTTGGACATAAACATGAGCAACTTTGTCATGAACATATGTCCCCGGGCAAGGGAAACAAAAGCAAAAATGAAGAAGTGAGATTATATCAAACTAAAAAGCTTCTGTACAGCAAAGGACACCATCAGTAGAACAAAAAGACATCCTACAGTATGGGAGAATATATTCATAAATGACAGATCTGATAAAGGGTTGATATCCAAAATATATAAAGAACTCACACACCTCAACAAAGAAAAAGTAAATAATCCAATTAAAAAATACACAGAGTTGCTGAACAGACAGTTCTCCAAAGAAGAAATTCAGATGGCCAACAGACACATGAAAAGATGCTCCACATCGCTAGTCATCAGAGAAATGCAAATTAAAACCACAATGAGATATCACCTCACACCAGTTAGGATGGCCAACATACAAAAGACAAACAACAAATGTTGGCGAGGATGTGGAGAAACGGGAACCCTCCTACACTGTTTGTAGGAATGTAAATTAGTTCAACCATTGTGGAAAGCAGTATGGAGGAATCTTAAAAAACTCAAAATAGAAATACCATTTGACCCAGGAAATGCACTCCTTGAAATTTACCCTAAGAATGCAGCAGCCCAGCTTGAAAAAGACAGATGCACTCCTATGTTTATCGCAGCACTATTTACATCAGCCAAGAAATGGAAGCAACCTAAGTGTCCATGGTAGATGAATGGATAAAGAAGATGTGGTACATATACACAATAGTATATTATTCAGCCATAAGAAGAAAACAAATCCTACCATTTGCAACAACATGGATGGAGCTACAGGGTATTATGCTCAGTGAACTAAGCCAGGCAGAGAAAGACAAGTATCAAATGATTTCACTCATCTGTGGCGTTTAACAGCAAAACAAAAACTGAAGGAACAAAACAGCAGCAGACTCACAGAACCCAAGAATGAACTAACAGTTACCAAAGGGAAAGGGACTGGAGAGGATGGGTGGGAAGGGAGGGATAAGGGGGAAAATGGGGCATTATGATTAGCACACAAAGTAGGGGGTGCAGACATGGGGAAGGCAGTATATACAGAGAAGACAAGTAATGATTCTATAGCATCTTACTACGCTGATGGATAGTGACTGTAATGGGGTATGTGGAGGGGACTTGATAGTAGGGGGAATCTAGTAACCACAGTGTTCAAGTAATTGTACATTAATGATGACAAAAAAAAAAAGATCAAGAATAAGGACAGAGTATTAAAAGCAGCCAGAGAGAGAAATAAGATCACATACAAAGGAAAGCCCATCAGGCTAACATCAGACTTTTTAGGAGAAAACCTTACAGGTCAGAAGGGAGTGGCATGATATATTTATACAATGAAGCAGAAGGCCCTTGAACCAACAATACTCTACCTGGGAAGATTATCATTTAAATTTGAAGGAGGGATTAAACACTTTCCAGATAAGCAAAAGTTGAGAGAATTTACCTGCCACAAACTGTCTTTACAGTGTATTTTGGAGGCTATACATGGAAGCATTCTTAAGGCTAAATAGCTATGACCAAGGGAAGGAAAATCACAGTAAATAAAGTAGAACAATTAATTACAAAGCAGATGCAAAGTTCAATCAACTACCCCCAAAGTCAGTCAAGGGATAGACAAAGAGTACAGAATATGATACCTGATATATAAAGAATGGAGGAGGAAGAAAAAGGAGAAAAAAACCTTTTCGATTGTGCTTGTAATAGCATACTAAGTGAGTTAAGTTAGACTCTCAGATAGTAAGGAAGTTACCCTTGAACCTTTGGTAACCACGAATCTAAAGCCTGCAATGGCAGTAAGTACATACTTATCAATAATCACCCTAAGTGGAAATAGTCTGAATGCACCAATCAAAAGGCATAGTCACTGAATGGATAAAAAAACAAGACCCAGCTATGTGTGGCCTACAAGAGACTCACTTTAAACCCAAAGACATACACAGACTAAATGTGAAGGGATGGAAAAAGATATTTCATGCAACTAATAGGGGGGGAAAAAGCAGGAGTTGCAGTACTAGTATCAGACAAAATAGACTTTAAAACAAAGAAAGCCACAAGAGACAAGGAAAGATATTACATAATGATAAAGGAGTCAATCCAACAAGAGGATACAACCATTCTAAATATCTATACACCCAACACAGGATCACCTACATATGCAAAACAAATACTAACAGAAAGAGAATGCAGTACATTCATTTTAGGAGACTTCAACACTCCACTCACTCCAAAGGATTGATCAACCAGACAGAAAATAAGTAAGGAGACAGAAGCACTGAACATCACATTAGAACAGATGGACCTAAAATACATCTACAGAACACTCCATCAAAAGCAGCAGGATACACATTCTTCTTAATTGCACATGGAACATTTTCAAGAATAGATCATATACTAGGCCACAAAAAGAGCCTCAGGAAATTCAAATGATTGAAATTGTACCAACCAGCTTCTCAGATCACAAAGGTACGAATCTACAAATAATTACGCAAAGAAAATGAAAAATCCCACAAACACATGGAGGCTTAATAATATGCTCCTATATAACCAATGGATTAATGACCAAATAAAAACAGAGATCAGGCAATATATGGAGACAAATGACAACAAGAATTCAACACTGCAAAAATCTCTGGGACGCAGCGAAGGCCATGCTAAGAGGAAAGTATATTGCGAGGGGCCTCAGTGCTGCATTGGCAGCCTCGGGGATAGAGTGACTAAAGCTCCCAAAAGTTCCCAAACTGCTGGGCTGAGTGTGCCAAGATGATTTTGTCTACCTGTCCTTTCTCCTGAGCAAGAAGTTCTGTGTAATCCTTGCCCCTTTAGCACCCCTTACACTGTTAAGTCTTTCAAAGTGCCTGCCTTCTTTTGTCCCAGAGCGGCTGGTTGTAGGTACCTGTTCTCCACAAGCGGCTGGAATCTCAGCCTCTCCGAGTATCCCTCCTGTCTTTCATACCTCCCCACTCTATTTCTTTTCCTCCCATCAGTGAGCTGGGGTGGTGGGAGGCACTGAGTCCAGCTGGGTCACAGCTTTGCTACTTTACCCTTCTTCTCTTTTCCCCAGATGTAGCCAGTCTGTAGCAATCTTCAGGTCACTCTTTGCTGTATTTTCATGTCATATGTGATTTCTGGGAGAAGTTTTCTGCCTCATTTCTCATGCTGCTATTTTCTCCCAGATCTCTACACTTATTTTCCAGATGATGCAAGTTTTCTCCAAAATCTGTACACATTCTTGTGATGTTTTCAAAACTACATATTTATTTCAATGAAACCCATAAGATAGAGTAGTAGCAGCTGTCCAGGCCCCGGATTCAAGTTCAGCAGTAGCTTAAAAGAAAAAGAAAGAATTATAGTGTTTATCGAAAATACTGGACAGTTAACAAGTATGAGTTGATTTTAATAAGTTGAGACCTTCATAAGTGTAAGAAAGGAAAATATCTATATGCAACTATAATACAAAAAAACAAGATTAAATTAATAGTAAGTATTACTTGCCCATAGCTGTGTACTGAATTAACTGACTAAGTATTAGAGCTTTGGTTTCTCATTACAAGATGGAACTATACAAGATGAAGATGACACAGTTCACCCTGTCAGCCATATGCTATAAACTGGGAAAACAGACAAGACAGGAAGTTCCCATACAGTCATATATACCATGACAGGCATGAAAATAAGCATTACTGGAACACACAAAAGGGATGTCCCAATTTTGTATGTGTTTTTGGCTGTTCAGTGTAGGTGACATGTAAATTGGTACATGAGGACAAGGGTAAGATGTGCAAGATAGAGGAAAGAAGCATCTGCCAAGACATAGAGGTGAGGAAGAACATTTGTGGAATTTTAAGTAGTCTACTTTGGCAACATGCTACAGCAGAAGGCCAGAGTAGGAGGTAAGTAGCAAGAGATGAGGCTGAAGGATTTGGCAAGAACCAAACTTGATTTGGGTGTTTTTATTCCTTGATAAGTAATTTGGAATTTTTCCTGAGAGTAAAAGTTAAAAACAATGACTGAGTCAAAGGCTGGAGATTTAAATGACCCCCTTCAAGTGACACTTATTTGATCTGTAATTGCCTATTAGTAGATGAGTCATGGTGTTTTGGCCTTAAATCACTACCAGGAACATGAGAAGATGGCAAGGCCCATGTGTTCTGAGAAGTGCAGGCTGACAGTTCTATAGGAATAGCAGAAGTAAAGGAAAGGTATGGCCAAAAAAAAGAGCAGATCCATGGATGTGTTGAGATATTTAAAAAGCTATGGAACATGGTGAAAAAATCAAGAGTGAATAAATGGTGAATAAACATTCTTCATTTTTAAAGGGTATGCCTTCACATTTTTCATTAGATATGTATAAGAAAAAAGTATTTAATGTAATACCTATTATCCAAACAATGGAAAAGGTAGCTATTTACTAGTTAGAGTTCATTTCAGAAAGCAAGGACATCTAATTTAATTCACAAACTTTGACAACATACCTTCTTTCAGTTCTCTAGTTATGCGTTTTTCCAATCTTCGCTGCACCTGAAATAGTCAAATGTTATTTGTAATTTTTAAGTTAAACAATACATTATTATATAAGTAATACATAGCTGAATGAAATATGGCTTTTAAATAATACGTTTAGAGGCTAGACTTAACTTGGGGATTCCTTAAATAGAAAAATAATCACAGAAAATAAATTCCTGTTCAATTTTAGATAACATATCTGTAATGCTATTTGGACTGATCTGACAAAAAGTACAATATTGGTGTATTGATTACACATAATTTCAGAAAGATGATATTTGCTCTTACTGGTAAGAGATTTAAACAATTCAAGTCATATTATACACTGAATGCAATAATTTGCAATTCTTAAGAGAAAGCACCCTTTAAAAAAGTTTAGTTCTATTCTAATGAATTTTTTCTTAAAATGGGCTTTCCATTCTAATACTTTTAGAAAATTAAAATCTTAAGGTATATTCTGTGCCATCAATTTTTCAGCACAGGATCTTAACTACATAAAATGAAAAGAGTGGGACTATCATAACATTATGTAAAAATTGTACTTGCAAAAAATTAAGTGAAAACATTTTGCTAATCTGTACTGTGAGTACAATATTAATTCTTCCTATCCATAAAATCCGATTTCCATTTATTGGTATCTTCTTTAATTTCTCTCATTAGTGTCCTGTAGTTTTCAGGGTATAGGTCTTTCATCTCTTTGGTTAGGTTTATTCATAGGTATTTTATTCTTTTTGATACATTTGTGAATGGAATTGTTTTCCTGATTTCTCTTTCTGCTAGTTCATTGTTAGTGTATAGGAATACAACAGATTTCTGTGTATTAATTTTGTATTCTGTAATTTGGCTGAATTCATATATTAGATCTAGTATTTTTGGAGTGGATTCTTTAGGGTTTTTTATGTACAATATTGTCTTCTGCAGACAGTGCCAATTTAACTTCTTCCTTACCAATCTGGATGCTCTTTATTTCTTTGTGTTGTCTGATTGCCATGGCTAGGCCCTCTAGTACCACGCTGAATAAAAGTGGGGAGAGAAGGCATCCTTGTCTTGTTCCCAATCTTAGAGAAAAAAGCTTTCAACTTTTCACTGTTAAGTATGATGTTGTGGGATTGAATATTTCATTTTACAAGCCCTGCCTACTAATGTTGTTGTCATCTTATTCTTTCTATAAGGCCTGTCTATAATGTTATTGTCACAAAAGTGTTATGGAAAACAGTCTCTGAAAATATGGGGAAACATGTTAGCCAAAAACCTGTCTTCACACCTAAAATTTGTAAAGGCATTACATATCCCATTATCATTATAATCACAGTGTTCATTATGTTCAGTATGCTAATTTAGACCCTACTTTGAAGGGCAGTTAGTGAGAGGGTACATTTTAAAAGAAAGATTTAAATAAAGACACTTTTAGTGTAATAAGACACAATAACTTTTATTGTAAAAACACTTGTAATAGTTTGAAATATTCCCCCACATTTATAATTAAGTAGATAAGTATAACTGGTCAGGTGTTTCCAAAACTGGCTCTAATTTCCAGAAAGGTAACAAAGTTACAATTAAAGAATTGTGTATTATCTGCCTTCTTTCTGATTCTAGAAAGTTGTGAATTGGAAACTAAGCTTGAAAACTGGCTCTAGCCTCTATTTTTCTTTTCGTCAAGCAGATTTTCTGAAATCTTTGTGTCCATATGAATAATCCAATTAAAAAATGGGTTCAGATAGCCAACAGGCACTTGAAAAGATGCTCCACATCGCTAATCATCAGAGAAATGCAAATTAAAACCATGAGATATCACCTCACATCAGTTAGGATGGCCAACAACCAAAAGACAAGAATCACCAAATGCTGGCGAGGATGTGGAGAAAGGAAAACCCTCCTACCCTGCTGGTGGGAATGTAAACTAGTTCAACCACTGTGGAAGGCAGTATGGAGGTTCCTCAAAAAACTAAAAAATACCATTTGACCCAGGAATTCCATTCCTAGGAATTTACCCTAAGAATACAGGATCCCAGATCCAAAAAGACATATGCACCCCCATGTTTATCGGAGCCCTATTTACAATAGCTAAGAAATGGAAGCAACCTAAGTGTTCATCAGTAGATGAATGGATAAAGAAGATGTGGTACATATACACAATGGAATATTATTCAGCCATAAGAAGAAAACAAATCCTACCATTTGCAACAACATGGATGGAGATAGAGGGTACTATGCTCAGTGAAATAAGCCAGGAGAAGAAAGACAAGTACCAAATGATTTCACTCATATGTAGAGTAAAAGAACAAAGAAAAAACTGAAGGAACAAAACAGCAGCAGAAACATGGAACCCAAGAATGGAGTAACAGTTATCAAAGGGAAAGGGACTGGGGAGGGAGAAGGGGAATAAGGGTATCATGATTAGCCCATATAACATAGGGCGGAACAGGGAAGGAAGTATAGCACAGAGGAGACAAGTAGTGACTCTATAGCATCTTACAATGCTGATGGTCAGTGATTGTAATGGGGCATGTGGTGGGGACTTGATGGGGGAATCTAGTAACCAGTGTTGCTCATGTGATTGTATATGAATGATACCTTAAAAAAAACACAAAACTTAGTCCCATTTCAGGAAGAAGTCCTTACTGATTGAAACAATTTTATGTCACCATTTACAAATGCTATGTAAAATGAAAATCACATTTTTCATAACTTGAATTAAGGAACTACCAGCATAATGTTAGTTACCTTTTCCCCCAAAAGCTCTTTTCCTAAATATTTACCTCCTTGACCTTTATAGGACTATGTTCTGATGGTGGAATTAGCTCAAAGTCTGTTAATCATGAGACTACATCTGCAATTTTATTTATACTTTTCCATTTATTAAAAATAGAGAAAGGTGAGTAAATTATATACAGGAAAGCAAGATATCAGCAAGTTTTAATTAAAATAAAAAGATTTTTAATGAGAAGGATTTTGTCTTTAACTGTTGATCCTCCAACTTTGCCCACAGAAATCTAAGGTTCCACTGGGGACACTGCCCCACTCCATCTCTCTAGCTGGACAGCTCTACTTGTCTCTGTTTTTTTCTAACAGTTTGATACTCAAAGGGTCTATTGTTTGAAGGAAAAAACATTTTTTAAGGTATGAAAGTCACTAATTTTACATAAGAGGCAACAAAGGCTCAGTAGGACTGCAGCTTTCCTAAGGTTACAAAACCAAGGAGCTGCAGGCCAGGAATGGGCTTTAGGTCTCCTTACTGAGCCTCAAGTTCTACACCAGCCACTTCCTCAAATTCAGGAAAAATATGAATATTTTTAACTGTAACTCAGAAAAAATGAATATGTAAAAGCTTTTCACATAGCTTTCTAACAAAATTGTAAGTTTTAACATCATGAATAAAAATAGAAATTAATATCTTAACTCCTATTGGCAGCCAATATACTCAATTTATAAAGTACACATACTTTTAAACATAATACAGGGGCCTTGAAGATGAGACTCTTTAGTTGGATCAAGCAAGCTAAATTGAGAAAATTTTTCCTTAAAAGAACTATTCATTTCCTCCAAATAGAACTTGGTTTACCAAACTCAATCAACAAGAAAGTTATCCATGCAGTGAGTTGCTTATAGCAAAATTAGAAAGGAAACAGATTTCTCTTCACCATCTAGCATATTTCTGTCCAACCGCTCATGATTAGTCGGTATGTACAAAGACATGATTAATTTCAATTAGAATTTAAATCCAGTCAGGAATTTTAGAACCTGCATTTCC